GCTTCGCTTGTAGAACATTGACCGATTTGTTTGTGTTTATTTATATAAAATAAACACTTTATATTACACCTCGCGAAAAATGTCGATTATTACTGAGGTATACTTGTATCGGTTTACAAGTATACAACTCACACAGATTATATCGATAATATTTTTGATACAAACATTTTTTTTTTGCAAATCTTCTAGGTTTTATGAAACTTATTTTATATAAAATTTATAGATTCAAAAACCTGTGGATTTCACCAACAAATTTTGTTGACATATTTTTAAAATGTGTACTCTCAGGTAACTAAGAAGCCGGAGGTAGAACATCGGTCCCAAGGAATTATATTTCCTTTCTCTTGTTATGAATTTGGTTTATCTTATTGTTTCATATTTCAATAATTACTATATTGTAATAATGTTTACAAAACCAAAGTTTGTAATATATCAATTTATGAATGTTTGATATATGTGGTTGACTGTGGTTCCAATTGTAAACGTCGCAACCCCGGCGTTTCTGCCATCGGTCGGGGTGTGACATAATCATATATAAACTAAATTTCAATATTAACATAATATCTTTACTTCTACTTATAAAGTTATGTTTTTTAAATTTTAACATATTATACTTAATTTATTAGTTTTAATATATTGTTGGATGTAAACCATTATCATTTTAAATTATCATTTTAAAGATATAATTTTGGAACAATTTGTATAAAATACTTAAATTATTAATTTAAATATAACATTATAGGGCCAACTTAAATATAAATTTTAGCTTAACTTAAACAACCCAAAAAATATTTTGTAAATAGTTAAAAGTAATAAATTGTGATTATAAGTTGGTAATTAATAAGGTTAAATAAATATCAAACCTAAAGTGTAATCATAAATAAACTGAATTTCAATTTTAAAATAATATATTTAATTCTACTTATAAAGTTATGTCTTTAACTTTTAACATATTATACTTAATTTATTAGATTTAAAATGTTGTTGTATGTAAACCATTATGAGTTTAAAGCTACAACTTTTGAATAGTTTGGACAAAATACTTAAATTGTTAATTTAAATATAACATTACAGTGTTAACTTAAATGTAAATTTCAGTTCCACTTAAAAAACCAAAGAATATTTTGTAAATAGTTAAAAGTGATAAAATGTAGTGATAAATGCAAAAACTAAATTGTAATTTCAATTTAACTAAAATATTTCCTAAATATATTTTTATTCATTAAAAGTTTTCAAATAACAAGCTTAAAATAACTTGCAATAACAATAGTTAAAAATAATTCTATATAAATGTTTATATTGTTACCTTTAAAATCAAAAAATAATGTTTGATATTTCAAATAATTATAATGATAGAATTTAAAACGTTAAGCAAATAAATTTTAAAAAATTAATTAACAATATTTTTATTCATTTAATTCGATCTCGAGTCGAGCTTTTAACGAGTCGATCCCGAGTAGCTCACGAGTAGCTCGGCTCACTTACACCCCTACCGTCAGACATAAAAAAAAACTATTTTATCCTTATATTTTTTTTTATATTTTTAGTTTTTATGTATCATTTTAAATATAAAAGAAAAAGAAAATATGTATTCCCCTTAATCCCTTATTAACCTATGCAACAAATGGGAAAACTCTTCCTCTTCACGGTCACCACAACCACAACCCAGCCATCTTCCCTCCTCCATTCTCAGCGCCCGTCGGTATCTCTACCTCCCCAATTTCTACCTTCTTACCGAAAACTTCATGAAGACGAATCGAAATGCGCATCGACTCCTACATACCAATGAAGAAAGAGGTTGGGAAACCTATTTCGACAAACCGACATCGGCCACCACCATACCTAAAATCAATTTCGATATATTGTCGTTGGCGACCACCACACTTGTGAATATCTTGCACTTGACAGCGTTTTCCGGTGAGTTAGTGTATACGAGGATGGGTATGGAAAAGGTACAAACAGGAAAGGATTGGTTGTAGACCATCTTTGTTTAATTATAATATTAATAATTATTCAAATAATAAAAATATAAAAGGACAATATAGTCTTTACAGGTATGGTAGAGACTAAACTTGAAACAAAAACAAATTATAAGAATGATCCAAGTTAAAAACAAAAATTAAGGACCAAACATACAAATTATCCCAAACCACAGGGACCATTCGTGTAATTTACTCAATATTTAATTATTCCAATACTGAGTAATTTTGATATTTTAAAGGGTGTAAAAGAAAATTGGGAGTAACCGAAAGCCATGGAGATTGCATTGTGATCCAAATCATATTAAACTTTCCAGATAATGAATCGACTGTGATTATAAATATAAATCTAGAAGCGATACATTCTCCTTCGTAATATTCCTACTCTAAAGAACCCTAGAAGCGATGGAAAATTTCGTCATGAAAGAAGACAGAATTGAGAAGTCTATTGCAATGCCCTCGTATCTCCCACGATTGTTTATAGCACCATCTTGTCTCCCCAAGTTCACGGAGGTGGTTGAATTAGTTGCAGAGATGAAGGCTAGGCTTTCGAGGAAAACCATTCAACTCAAGGAATCAACGGATAAGAAAGATAAAGAATGCATGGAGAAACTTCATGACGAATGTTCTTCATTGCGTTTGGAGATTTATTTCTTGGAAAATGAAGCTTACGTACTGAGGAAGGAACTGGTCCAGCGGATTTATTTGGAGGTAACATCGGTGAAAGAGATGATGGCAGTTAACGAACTGATGTCAGTTTCGGGTGTTGGAGCAACCCCTGATATGCAGTGCTTCGGTGGAAAGATTTGCGTGGGTGATAACTTTCCTAAAAACGTTAGCAAGGCAATTACAGATGCTCAAAGATTGCAGCAAACCTTTTAAATTTGCCAGTTATAAACAGTCTTTTGGATTCTTAAATTTCGTTTTTTATATACTAGCCTAATATTTGTTAATGATTATATATAGGCTTTTTTGCATGTTTTCTCTGTATATAATCTCGGTTAATAACTGTGTAATTTTGAAAAATATACGCTGAAATTTGGTTAGTATACATCCCATCCTTTCTTTTCCAGAAAGTGCAGGCAGTTATTATATTATCCTCTAGTATGAAATCATAGATTCCTTAAAAAACATATCTGCATATGGCTGTTATATAGGTGGAGTTTTGGTCAAAGTCAAACTATCGCCTTCTAGGAGTGACAAAAATCAGGGCCCGCCTAGGTGTTGAAAAAATAGGGCTCGATTTTAGCCAAGTTATATAGTAAGTATATTCATATATATATATATATATATATATATTATTTTACGCAGAATATTTCAAATTTGCAGTTGTTTCAACCGGTCAGAAGCGCCGCATATCCTTCCTTCCTTTTAAAAGAGCTAGTTTCGATTCCTGCTTTGCTCACTTTCCTTCTTTGTTATATTAATTCACGTTTTAGTAATGAATAAATTTTACCCAGGTCCAGTTCTTGTTACCCCAATTTCAAAAGTAATGAATAAATTTTACCCAGGTCCAGTTCTTGTTACCCCAATTTCAAAGTGTTTGTTGTTAATGGGCATTTTATTCTTCTTTCCCACTTTTCTTTATTAGTGATTTTTTATTTATTCCTCATTTCTTTATAATTGTTTTTTTAATTGACCGACTTTTTCTTTCTTTTTAAATTGTCGACACCCATTTCAATTGATCACTTTTTATCAATCAATTATATTATCTTTTTCCATTAGTATTATTAAAATTTGTAAATATACATAACAAAAATATATTGAGGGCCATTTTATTTCTGGTTTTTTTCTAGTTCACTCTCATCCATATTAATCGATTAGAACATCTTAGTAGCATTAACATTTTTTATATACATATAAAAAATTATATTAAGGGTTTATTTTTATTTTTCGCACAGGGCCTTCGAAATCAAAGGACCGACCCTGACAAAAATCATGGAGTTTTTGGTTAAAGTCAAACCATCGCCTTCTAGGAGTGAACGAAATTGGGACAAAAAATACACGACACTAACGATGTCGTGTTCGTGTTCAAATTTCGGCTTGGTAATAGCATGAAACATCGTATTCATGTTCAAAAATCGTGTAAATTTATAGTAGCACTACAAGAAATGTGGGTATTAGCGGCGACGACTTTAGCAGCGACACTAGGCATTAGCGGCGACATGTAAATGACGCGTTACATGTCGCCGCTAATGCCTAGTGTCGCCGCTAAAGCCGTCGCCGCTAATACTCAACAGTAGTGATCCGCGTCAAATGAACCCTATCCGTTCGATCTGTATTCAATCGAACGGTTGTAACGGCGTGAAAAAAAGGCGCTGACTTTTCCCTCTAGGCCTGTCGCCGCTAATACCCATGTGTCGCCGCTAATACCCGTCGCCGCTAAAGGTCCGCGCAGATAACCCCTCCAGTTCGCTGTTTATGAAAGTACAATGCTATAATGGTATTTTGTAGGTTGGTAATTGTTAGTTATAGTACAATGCTATAATGTTTTATTTGCAATATGTGTAATTTAGTTGTTGTTAGTTTATGAAAGTACAATGCTGTAATGGTATTTTGTAGGTTGGTAATTGTTAGTTATAGTACAATGCTATAATGTTTTATATGCAATATGTGTAATTTGGTAGTTGTTAGTTTATGAAAGTACAATGCTGTAATGGTATTTTGTAGGTTGGTAATTGTTAGTTATAGTACAATGCTATAATGTTTTATATGCAATATGTGTAATTTGGTAATTGTTAGTTTATGAAAGTACAATGCTATAATGGTATTTTTTAGTTTGGTAATTGTTAGTTATTGTTCAATGCTATATTTTGTACTTTGCTTGTATGTGGAATGTATATTTTGTATATAGAATGTTATAATGCTAGTTTAACTTATAAGACTATGTTGTTTTATTTGTAGTTGGAAATGCTTTAAACAATGTTACAAGATCCGGCATGTAGTGCCGCACTTGAAGATTGGTTTAGTTCGTTGCCACTACGAAATGAAACCGGAGGAAACGAGGAGAGCGATGATGACGAGTAGATAGTTGTAGGATTTTTGTATGTTTTGTTTGTGCAAGTATTTTAGACTAGTATTTTAAACGGATGAGTATTTTAAATTGGATGAGTATTTTAAACGGATGTTGTATTAATATTTTGGAATGGAATGATGTAGGATTAGATTAATTAATATC